GACCACGAAACAGCAAGTCACTCAATATGTCGACGCCGAGGATTCCGATACTAGCTAAGCAACAAGAAGAAGGCCTTGAAACTGAGGAAATACGACAAAGCGTTTTTTAGCGATAAACGCGCATACTTGTGTCTTCTGAAGATTAAACTGGACTAGATTTAGTCGCCCCCAATCCGAGACTTTTCAGACGTTCATGAAAAATGTCGACTTCAGACACAAGTTTGTTCCGGTACGTTTTCCCGAGAAATACGAGTATTGGCATGGCCGGTCTATAGAACATCACCAGTGCTGCCATCCGCATAGCAATGAATGTTACATATCATTGATATGCAGAAAATACAGCGTTGGTGACGACACGCAGCCTTGTGGAACACTAGCGTTAATAGGCTTGTAATCGCAACATGCGCCGTCTACTACGACCTTGATGCTCCGATCAGCCAAAAAACTGGTGATCCAATTGCACATTTTAGAGAAGCCCATAGGAAGGAAGCTTCGAAAGAATCGCTTTGTGCCAGACCCGATCTAGAACGATGGACATGTCTGTTACCGCGATTGTCGTTCTGCCAAGCGTGACGAATAACGACTATTCTTTCCTTAAGTAAGTGGCCCGTGTCCAGCTGTGAATTATTACGGGCTAGTTAGGGAAAAGACAAGGTTATAATTTTAAAATTAATATATTGCACGTTCCTTAAAGGGTTTACTTAAATTGTCTCCGAAAGCAATTATAATAATTACGACAACGATGTAATTATCTGCTAAACAAGGTGTACTGATAAACAAACCGTGTTTAATTGTCATTTTAAAGAGACTACTCGAAGTTAATTATAACTGATTTTATTCACAAAGTAAAGTTTTTAAAATTAATATATATAGTGACGTGATAATATATAGTATATATTATCACGTCACTATATATATTAATTTTATAAAGTGACGTTAGAAAATCTAGTTAGAAGCATAAAATAGTTTGGAAAATCCAAAAAAGTGCATGCCTTATGAGTGTTTCATTTAGTTTCGATTGAAAAAATAAATAACCAAAATAAATCGATTACACAAAGTATTACTGTGTAATCGATTTATTTTAGTTTGGTATTTGTCCTTTGTCTCTTGTCCAACGGCAAAACTAAAAAATGAGAGCGCCTTTAAATTTTTAATAGCAATAAAACTTAGAAAATTTTAAACTAAAACTGGTTACTTCGCCTACGCAGATTCCAGATGTGGAGGATCATACACCTTCCCTGTTGGACCTTCTGCTGACCTCTCATCCGGACGGATATCAGGTTTCCGTCGATGCCCCTCTCGGCTCTTCGGACCATTGTCTGATCCGGAGTGTGGTGCCACTCACGCTCCCCTCGCGGTTGCGTTCTGTAGGTTGCCGCTGTGTTTGGCATTACAGGTCGGCGGATTGGGACGGAATGCGGTCTTTCTTTGCATCCTACCCATGGGGGCGGGTTTGCTTCTCGCCGGATGATCCCAGCGCTGTTGCTGACTCTGTCACTGATGTGGTGCTACAGGGAATGAAACTATTTATTCCATCATCTGTGGTACCGATCGGAGGCAGATCTCAGCCTTGGTTTGGTCGCTCCTGTAAGACTGCATTACGCAGTAAGCAGGAGTGTTATCAAGCCTGGGCTGCGGCAACGGCGATTCGGGATGTAAGCACCAGCACACTTAAAAAGAAGTATAACTTCGCCTCCAGGTCCTTCAAAAGAGTTATTACCAAGGCAAAGTCAGAGCACATAGGCAGAATTGGCGAGCAACTATTTCGCCTTCCTTCGGGAACCCGCGCATTCTGGTCTCTCGCCAAGGCTGTCCAAGGGAATTTCTGTAAGCCATCACTACCATCTCTGCACGGGGAGGACGACTCACTGGCCCATGCCGCAAAAGACAAAGCCGACCTTTTAGGCTCCCTTTTTGCGTCCAAATTGACTCTTGATGACGGGGGGAAAACACCGCCGACCATCCCGCGGTGTGAGTGCTCCATGCCGGATGTGCTGTTCTCACAGCGCTCGGTTCGCAAAGCACTCCTCTTCCTGGACATCAGAAGTCGAGTGGGCCTGACGGGATCCCCCCAATTGTGCTGAGAACATGTGGTCCGGAGTTGGCACCGGTCCTAACGCGTCTTTTCCGGTACTCCTACTCCCAAGGCGTAGTCCCGAATTCATGGAAGACAGCTTTTGTCCACCCGATCCCTAAAAAGGCGACCGCTCAGACCCGTCCAACTATAGGCCTATCGCCATCACCTCCTTGTTCTCCAAAATAATGGAATCCATTATTAACTGCTAGCTCATGCGGTACCTTGAGGATCACCAGCTGATTAGTGACCGCCAATACGGTTTTCTTCGGGGTCGATCAGCTGGTGATCTTTAATTCTACCTGGCCCATAGATGGGCGGAGGCAATAGAGTCCAAGGGGGAGGCGTTGGCCGCGTTAGTTTGGACATTGCGAAGGCTTTTGATCGGGTTTGGCACAAAGCGCTTCTTTTGAAGCTCCCTTCCTATGGGCTTCCCGAGAAATTGTACAATTGGATCAACAGCTTCCTTGCAGATCGAAGCATCAAGGTCGTTGTAGACGGTGCAAGCTCCGACTACAAGCCTATTAACGCTGGTGTTCCACAAGGCTGTGTGCTATCACCAACGCCGTTTCTTCTGCATATCAATGATATGTTGCTAACTGGTAACATTCATTGCTATGCGGATGACAGCACTGGTGATGCTCTATACACCAGCCGTGCTAATATTTCTCGGGTAAACGTCGCCGAGTACTTGTGTCTGAAGTAGAGTCTTTGCTCCACAAAGTCTCGGATTGAGGGCGACATAATCTAGTCCAGTTTAATCCTCAGAAGACACAAGTTTGCGCGTTTACCGCTAAAAAAAACCCCTTTGTCGTATCTCCTCAATTTCAAGGCACTCCCCTTTTTGCTCAGCCAGTATCGGAATCATCGGTGTCGACATATTCTTCGAACAGTTTCAGAACATTTAACAGTGGTAGAGCCACGCGGCAGCTTTTCCTGTCGCACGGATGGGCCGGCTCGAACCGGGGTGATACCACGACCTCACAGAAAACCAGCGTGAAGTAGAGGTTTACCTCTGCGTTTCGTTTGGTGAGTGCAGGCGGCCGGAGGCCCTTTTTACTGGAAATGAGGCATTCCATCTTAGTCCTCACGGGTGACAACGCATCTACATTTTGATTTGTAATAGAGGATAGATGTAGATGTCTATGGGCCACAGCAACCACTTACCATCAGGTGGACTGTGTACTCGTTTGTCACCCTTATCCTATAAAAAAAAAACTTCCGATACCATCCAAACGATCTGTATGATCGGCGGTCCACCACTGGGTGTTTTTCGACTTCCTTGTGACTGTCTTAACAGTAGTGACTGACTGTAGTGACTGACTTAGGGGCCTTCAAGAAAAGAGCCTACTCCTTTTTAAAAGGCCGGCAACGCATCTGCAATTCCCTCTCTGGTGTTGCAGTTATTCATGGTCGACGGTAGTCACTTGCCATCGAGTGAGCCGCATGCTCGTTTGCCCCCTCTCCTATAAAAAAAATTTATCCGGACGTCCACGTAAAAAAAAATTCAAACCATTTTTTAAATAAAATATAACATGGATTAATTAGAGTGTTTTCTTGATATACGGCTACTCATATTATCGTAGAAGTGTAATATAGTTATAATAGAGGTATTTTAGACCAAAAAATTGCTTGACCTTGACGTGTCAAGAGTAATACACTACCTAATAACGCTTTGCGTTATGATGCGTGCAATAACATAATTGAATTGGTTAATCCATATTATACACATAAAATCAACTTATCATTTTCAAATTTTCAAATGGTGCACAATTCGTTATAAACTTTTAACAGTGGTAGAGCTACGCGGCAGCTTTTGCTGTCGCACGGATGGGCCGGCTCAAACCGGGGTGGTACCACTACCTCACAGAAAACCCTTTTTACTAGAAATGAGGCATTCCATCTTAGTCCTCACGGGTGACAACGCATCTACATTTTGATTTGTAATAGAAGATAGATGTAGATGTCTATAGGCCACAGCAACCACTTACCATCAGGTGGACTGTGTGCTCGTTTGTCACCCTTATCCTATAAAAAAAAATTCTGCCATTGATTCAACAAGTTCCTATTGCGGGAAGAGCTTGTGAAAATAAGCGGTAAAAAACTCACAACTAGATTTTTCTCCCAGCAGTTACAATTTATCCTTATAAATATAATACTTTTATACATAAGTATAAAAGTCTAAGAAATTTCCCTATATACATTCTTACCTTTTAAATTGTCATCTAATTTATAATATCCTTTTTTCATAAGTGTGCTTGTTACATGTGCCTTGAGCTTATAGAAAGGAAAATCAGAAATATTACTGGGAATGCTGTTATAAATAGTTAGACATCAAACTTACGCTACGAGTATACTATACCGCCCCAAAGCACGTTGGCGGATTTTTCATGTCCTTAAAATGTTTTGTTTTTGAAAAGGTCTATATTCAATTATAATGTTAAATCAGTATTTAACATTATAATTAACGATTTTATAAATGCCGACGTCAGTAGGGTAATATTGGGGCTGCTGCATGACTCACGTCCGTTCGCGGTGCAGTTCGCCCCGATATTATTGGAGTTTCTGCATCACTCGTCCGCTCGCAATGCAGTTCGCCGCAATATTACACTAAACAGCTCTACATTCCTGTTGTATTGTACGCGTAAAGTCAAATCTCACTTCTCATTATATTTGTAAAAACAGTCTGCAATAAACCATTAGACAGTGAATACGTTGTTTACTTCTCTTAAGTGACATATACGCAAGTGTGACCCGTCCGTATAATAAGTTAAAGTACATAATGGCCTGCATCGAACCGGATTTTTATTGAATAGGCGACTGATAACGTCGAGTCGGAGAACAAAAGAGCTCGGACGCCAATACAAAAACAAGTTACATTAATTTTGTTGGTAAATATTAACCGTCGTATTATTCAATATTTAACATGGAAACTACGGACCAAATTTTAAGTGAAATTGAAGATTTGCACTGTAGTATTGTTAAAACCCACGAGAATTTTAAAAAGTGTCCAAAGGCACGTCTAACTAAGGGATATTTAGAAGCAAAAATTAACTGCCTGAATGACTATTGGAACTCGTTTAAGACTGCACATACAAGTTTAATAAAATCTGTGCCTAAGGAACAACGAAAACGCTTGGAATATTTTAATAAAGACGTATACTATTCGTGTGAAGAAAGTTATATGCAAACAAAAGCGGATATGAAGGACTTATTAGATTCATTACATTCTACGGTTATACAATCAGCCAGAGTTGGTGAAAATAAGATATTGCAGCGTGAAGTTCCCCAAGTCAAATTGCCCAGAATACAATTACCATCATTTTCTGGCAGTTACGAAGATTGGCCGACGTTTCAAGATTTATTTTTAACGATTGTTGATAAAAATGAAACACTCAGTTGTGTTCAAAAACTACACTATTTAAAGTCTAGTGTTACGGGCGATGCCGAAAATTTATTGAAACATATTCAGATAACCGAAAATAACTATAACCAAGCGTGGGATATATTAAAAGGGCGTTATAGCAACAAACGACTCATAGTGACCTCTATTCTAAAATGGATGTTTAACCAAAAAAAATTGCAAAGTCAGTCCGCAAGTCAAATTAAATCTTTACTTGACACTACGACCGAATGTCTTAACACCTTGAAAAACCTGGACGTTATTACTGAACATTGGGATCCATTGGTGATTTATCTGGTCGTAAATAAACTAGATTTGGAATCCCATAAGGAATGGGAAGAATTTGTAAGCAAAGAAATGAACGATAAGTTGCCCACCTTAATGACATTAACAAAATTTATGGAAATGAAATTTCGAACACTTGAGTTGTTATCGCCAGGTTCAACAAGGGATAGAACTACAGTGCGCTCATATCATGTAACAACTACGGAGAAGGTTTGTCCATTGTGCAACGGGAATCATGCACTATGTCACTGTAAGAGTTTTGGCAAAATGGAACCCACAATGAGAACTGAATTAGTAAAGACAAAAACATATGTTTCAACTATCTAATTCCTGGTCACCCAGTCAAAGCTTGTCGTTCATCCAGCATATGCAGGATTTGTCACAGACGTCATCACTCTCTTCTTCATCATTCACGAGCTATGATTCCCCAAGGTGAAAAACAAAAGGAAACACAACCGAAGGTTTTACATACAAATGTTGAAGAAACAGAAGAACTTCAAATCAATACAATGATGACGTCACAAGCTCAATCAATGAGGAGCACAGTTTTATTAGGTACAGCAGTAGTTACAGTACGAAGTGAAGATGGATACACAACTGTATTAAGAGCCCTCATTGACCCGGGATCACAAGCTTGTTTAATTAGTGAACGTGCAGCTCAATCTTTAAAGGCTACAAGGTATAAAGTTAAGGGAAACATTATTGGTGTGGGATCTGTAATGTCAAAAATAAATCAAGTAGTTCAGGTAGAGGTAATATCACAGTATCAAAGCGAATTCAGCCTCAAGGTAAAAGCCTATGTCATGTGAAAACAACTGACTACTAAAATCCCCACAAAATAAATTGCGTTTTACGAATGGCCCCATCTCCAAGGACTTAGGTTAGCAGATCCAAGTTTCCACACAACAGGATCTATTGATTTGTTGTTAGGAGTAAATGAATATGCACAAATCTTGCAAAGTGAAGTCATCAAAGATCCACCTGGAACACCTTGTGCGCAAAATACTGCACTGGGTTGGATAGTATTCGGGACCGTAAACGACAATTTACAACAACAAGAACAAACAATGATAGTCATGCATCAAGTTACTGAAGTAGATGATATGTTAAAAATGTTATGGGAAGTAGACCCGACTCTTAAAAGAAGATTCACGAGGGATGAAGAGAAATGTGAAGAAATATTTAAAAATACCTATTCGAGAAATAGCGAAGGAAGGTACATAGTTCAATTACCATTTAAAGTAGGTAGTCTGAAGTCACATAAAGGAAACAGCAGAGAAATATCAATGAAAAGATTTATAGAGTTAGAACAAAAATTAGATAAGATACCATATCTTAAAGTAAAATATCAGGAGGTCATGAAAGAATATCTTACAATGGGTCACATGGAAAGGATTCCCAAACAAGAAACAACCAAGTGCGCAGTTTATTTGCCTCATCATGCTGTAATACGCACCGACAAAGAAACAACCAAAGTGCGTGTTGTTTTTGACGCTTCATGTAAGAATTCTCAAGGAATATCTCTTAATGATGAGCTCTCGGTAGGACCCGTTTTACAGGAAGATTTAAGAAGTATCATTATGAGATGGCGGATGCACAAAATTTGTTTCGCAAGTGATGTCGAAAAAATGTATAGGATGATATTGTTAAAAAGGGAACACACAGACTTTCAAAGAATTTTTTGGAGAGATGATTCATCAAAATCTAACGAAATAGAGGAGTTCAGGTTATTGACAGTTACATTTGGTACAGCATCGGCACCATATCTAGCTGTCAAAACCTTATTACAGATTGCAGACGATGAAGCCAAAGACTATCCTAATGCAGCAAGAACAATACGTGAAGACTTTTATGTAGATGATTTAATGTCTGGGTGTGACACTGTTCAACAAGCCATAGAAGTGTGTAAACAATTGAAAATTATTCTTAATAAGGGCGGCTTCAGACTACAGAAATGGATATCAAATAATGCTAAATTGTTAAGGTCATTAGAACCAAGTGAAATATCAACAAGGGCTAGCCTGAATATTAAAATTAATGGCACCGTAAAGGCACTCGGCCTGACATGGAATTTAGGTGAAGATGATTTCCAATACACTGTGACTTTACCGCCTGTTCTAACGAACGTCACTAAACGTAATATATTAGCAGATGTACAAAAAATGTTTGATCCTTTAGGATGGATAGCACCCGTAATTATCAAGGCTAAAATATTGATTCAAAGGCTATGGTTAGAAGGAGTAAACTGGAATGACAAAATAAACGAAGAATTACGGAAAGAGTGGCTGACAATACGTTATGATCTAGATAATGTCAATCAAATGCGAATCAAACGTTGGATTTATACAAAAACCGCTAATAAAGAAAACACATCACTGCACGGTTTCTGTGATGCATCTATAAAGGCAATATCTGCTGTTGTATATTGTAGAACAGTAGATGAAAACGATATCGTACAGACAAGCATTGTAGCTGCCAGAACCAAGGTAGCTCCGGTAAAAACCATTTCTTTGCCTCGTCTTGAGTTATGTGGCGCAACTTTAGTATCTAAGCTTCTAAATCACGTGGCTCAAGCGATGAGAATACCTTCTACACAAGTTTTTGCGTGGATTGATTCTTCAGTAGTTTTGGCATGGCTTATTGGCGAACCAAATAGATGGAAGCCATTTGTTGCAAATCGTGTAGTTGAGATAATGGAGAATGTTAAAAATGGCCAATGGTACCACGTAAAAACTCAGGAAATCCAGCGGATGTTGCGTCAAGAGGTTCCTCTGCTCAAGTTCTTCTCACAAATCAGTTATGGTGGCACGGACCACCATGGTTGGTAACTTCTGTAAAGAAGGGAGTAATATTTTCGAGACCTAACATAATTTCAACGCAATTGGATAAAAAATTAATAAAAATAAATTTAAATGTGACACTAATAAAAAATTAACAAACAAACCACTTTTTAAACTTTGAAAATTTTGACTCATTTGAAGAACTTCTAAAGACAATTGTATACAGCAGACGATTCTTAAATTTTAAAAGGCGACAGTACAATGAAAACTGTATTACAACTGAAGAATTACAACAAGCCGTAAATTTGTGTATAAAGAAAGCACAATGGGAAGATTTTTATGATGAAATAAAAACAATTACCGATCGTAAATATGTTCGGAGAAATAGTCGCTTAAAATCTCTAAATCCATTTCTTGATGAAGAAAGGATTCTTAGAGAGACTACGGCATGCAAATATTAGTGAAGAGAGTAAATTTCCAATTATTTTAGACGCTAAATCTTCACTCACATCACTCATTGTAGCTGATGCTCATAAAAGAACGCTGCACGGTGGATTACAATTAATGTTGTCATACTTGAGAACAAAGTACTGGATTGTAAGGGCAAAAGTTGTAATAAAATCTCACATTTTTAAATGTTTGATATGTGCTAAAATTAGAGCCAAGGCAAAAGGACAAATAATGGGTGATCTGGCCCCCAAACGAGTTAACCCGTAACGCCCATTCCTACAAAGTGGTGTAGATTTTGCCGGGCCAATCCAAATACTTATGTCAAAGGGGAGAGGTATACGAACAAGTAAAGCTTACATAGCTATTTTTATATGTATGTCAATTAAAGCCATTCATCTCGAACTTGTAAGTGATCTAACTTCAGAAGCTTTTATTGGGGCTTTTAGACGTTTTGTATCACGGAGAGGACGTTGCGCTGACCTGTGGAGTGACCAGGGCAGAACTTTCATAGCAGCGAACAGAGAATTGTCGGAAGATTTAAATGAAGCCAATTTAAATTTGAACAATCAAATTAAAAACGCTTTGGCTTTGGACGGCACCCAGTGGCACTTCATTCCACCTTATAGCCCTAACTTTGGTGGTTTATGGGAAGCGGGGGTTAAATCCATGAAAGGACATTTGAAGAGAGTCCTGACGAAGAATTTAACATATGAGGAGATGTCCACACTTTTGTGCCAGATTGAAGCGTGCCTAAATTCTCGGCCCTTAACACCAATTAATGAATCTGAGGTGGAAAATATAAGCCCTTTAACACCAGGCCATTTTTTGATCGGTGAAGCTCCTATTTCTGTCCCAGCGCCAGACTTATGTGATGCAAAAATTAGCCTACAAGCACGTTGGCGATATACACAAAAACTCTTAGGCGACTTTTGGTATCGATGGCAGCATGAATATCTCACAAGGTTGCAACAAAGACCAAAGTGACTTAAAAGGGAACGGGAATTTGCCATCAATGAAATAGTTCTCATTAAGCAAGATAAACTGCCTCCTGGAAAGTGGATGCTGGGTCGCATACTTGCCAAACATCCTGGACCAGATGGAGTCACAAGAGTTTACAGTTTAAAGTGCGGTGATGGTGTTATTAAAAGAAGTGTGTTAAAACTGTGTCATTTGCCTATTGATTGTAATTGAATTTTATTCGTATTTATATTAATTGTTTGTTAATGTATAAAATTCGAATAACTAAGTTTGAATAAGTTTTTTTTATTACATATTATAGATTCTAGATATAATGAACTTATAAAAAGGGTCATGCCCTTTTTGGCGGGCGGTATGTTGTATTGTACGCGTAAAGTCAAATCTCACTTCTCATTATATTTGTAAAAACAGTCTGCAATAGACCATTAGACAGTGAATACGTTGTTTACTTCTCTTAAGTGACATATACGCAAGTGTGACCCGTCCGTATAATAAGTTAAAGTCCGCTCGCAATGCAGTTCGCCGCAATATTACACTAAACAGCTCTACATTCCCAAACACGATGCGCGACGGTGTGGAATTCAATAATCTGATTCTCGCTGCGATAGCTTGTTACTCTAAAAGACGTATGGACGCAGCGCTCATGTTATTGTATTTGATCTCGATCGATATTATTGATAATTGCAATTGTCATGCATGTTTGATTGATGAGTTTTTAGTAGACCAATACTTTAATAGGTAGACTAACATAACGATGTTGGATTTTTTTATATGATTCAGGGAGACTTTACCATGGTAGATCAATTGAGACTCCAGCCCTAGGGCTCGCTTGCGCAGATATACAAACATACCTAGCAAATAACATATTTCTTTTCCCATATGAAAACAGCATTGTGTTCAGTCTTCGTGATTTTTTAATTAATTATGAATGAATAAGAACCTTTCCGAGGGTTTTTTAAAGCAAGTATTTATGCATGCTATTAATTAAGATATTAAATAACATAATTATTTAAACTTACCTTATCTATATAGGGTAACTATTATAGTATTTAGAGTACTAGCATTTAGGTATTACATATTGTTACGCGCCACTATTAATGTCTTGTACATGGCAACACT